TGATTTCCTTAGACGGACCGACGGACGGATATCGCTAAATCGACATAGAATTTTATGCTAATCAAGAATATGTATACTTTGTGGGGTCTACAAGGTATATTTCGAGGTGTTGCAAACGGAATGATAAACTTAATATACCCTTCATACTATGGTGGAGGATATAAAAAATTACTCCTAGAAGTAGGCAGCATATTTATGCAGTATATATGACGGTTTTGTGAGAATATCCGAATTTTTATCACAAAAACTGGCCAGAGAGACTTTTTACCACAGGAAAATATTATCCTCTGGACCTGAGCACATTTGGCCTGGGGTAATATTTTTTTAACCCGAGAATTTTTTAATCCAAAAAAAAAAAAATATCCTCATGCCAGCAGAATATCTTTCCATTAGAATTAAAAATTCTAAGCCACAGAGGACCATATTGGCCAATAAAAATGTACCTCAGATCCCAAGAGGGGTTTCTCTTACAAAAATCTTTCATCTTGTGTTTTAGAAAAAATGCCCCTAAAAGTATGCACCAGTCATTGTTATCATAAATCACATATTTCATATTTTTATTATAAAAATTATTTACCCATCTCCACTTTCAAGTCCTTCACTGTATTTACCCATCAGACGTTCGTCTGTCTCTGTCCACACACATAAATATCTTAGCAGTATTTGTCTACAAGTTTACACAGCTATTCGGAGTAGCAGCAAGCACCCTCGGCCAGCTAGCAAGCTAGTCTGCATATGGATCACATTTGAAACAAAAAAACTTTGTTTAGAATTTTATATGTTTCGGTTCGGGTACACAATCCTTGTGCCATACCTCAAGGATAAAATAAAGTAACTCGAGGCTTGCACACACACTCTCTCTCTTTCTCCTCTCTCTCCCCTGCTCCCACTCCCGTTAATGCAGTTTCTAGTTCATTGTTCTCCTATCTGGGTGAATATTTACATATGTTTGTATGTGCGTATATAAATGTAAATTTAATGTTTTATTTTTTTTTTTGGGTGGAGGGGGGTGGGGAATGGATATTTGATATAACGAAATATAACAAGAAAAAAAAATAACAACAACATCAATAAAAAAATTTGAACTACAATAAAAATTTATTTAACATTTACGAAATGCCTGAATTGAAGAATGAATGTAAACGAAAGAAAGGAAATGAAAAAACAAACAATGGAAATTTAAACTATGAATTTTTTAATATTTCTCTCAACTACTCAGGGGAGAAGTCAGGAGAGAAAAAAATTAAATTAGAAAAAAAAACAACATCAGAGGTCCTCTACTCCAATGTAGATGGGCTCAGAGGCTATATATTTCAGGAAAGATGTACTCAGCGTCAATCTACTCCTGTGTACATGGACCATCTATTACAGAGTAGGATTTTTTAAGAAATTTTTTGATAGGACATCTTGGCCAATAATTGTGTATTTTTTAAAGAAATTTTGGAAAGGACACCCAGGTCAATAATCATTTATTTTGAAGAAATTTTTGAAAGAATATCCAAGCCAATAATCGCTTATTTTTTAAGAAATTTTTGAAAGGACATATGGGGCAATAATCTTGGATTTTTTAAAGAAATTTTTAAAAGGACGTCTAGGCCAATAACTGTGTATTTTTTAAATAAATGTTTTAAAGGACATCCAGGCCAACATTCGTGAATTTTTTAATTTTTTTTCAATGGACATTTAGGCCAATAATTGTGGATTTTTTAAAGAATTTGTTTAAAGGACATCCGGGCTAATAATCTTGAATTTTTTAAAGATATTTTTCTAAGAACAATTGGTCAAAATTTTTGAAAGGACATCTTGGCAACAATCGTGTTTTTTTTTTAAGATATTTTTTAAAGGACACCCAGGCCAATATTCCTGAATTTTTTTTTTTCAATGGACATTCAGGCGAATATTCGTTAATTTTTTTAAGAAATTTTCCAATGGACATTCAGGCCAATAATCGTGGATTTTTTAAAGACATTTTTGAAAGGATATCCTTACCAATAATTGTGGATTTTTAAAGAATTTTTTTGAAGGGACAGCCGAGCCAATAATCGTTTTTTTTTAAAGAAAATTTTTAAAGGACATCCAGGCCAATATTCGTGAATTTTTTTAAAGACATTTTTAAAGACCTCGAGGCCAATATTCGTGATTTAAAAAAAAATCCAATCGACATTCATTTTTAAAAAAAAATCTGATGGACATTGAGGCCAATAATCGTGAATTTTTCAAGAAATTTTTGAAAAAACATTTGGGCCAATAATTGTCGATTTTTTAAAGAGTTTTTTGAAAGGACATCCGGGCCAATTATCTGGGATATTTTAAAGAACATTTTTAAATTTGGTCAAAATTTTTAAAAGGACATTCTGGCCAATAATCGTGGATTTTTTAAGAATTTTTTTAAAGGACATATGGGGCAATAATCGGGGATTTTTTAAAGAATATTTTGAAACGACATCCGGGCCAATAATTGTGAATTTTTAAAGAAATTTTTGAAAAGACACCCGGCCAATAATCGTGGTTTTTTAAAGTAAATTTTAAAGGACATCCAGGCCAATATTCGTGATTTTCTTAAAAAATTTTCCAATGGACATTCGGACCAATAATCGTGGATTTTTTTAAAAAAAAAATCCTATGGACATCCGGGTCAATAATTGTGGATTTTTTAAAGAAATTTTCTAATGGACATTTAAGCCAATAATTGTGATTTTTTTTAAAGAAATTTTTGAAATTACATCCGGGCCAATAATTGTGGATTTTTTAAAGGCAATTTTCAAAAATTTTTAAAGGACATCCGGGCCAATAATCGTGGATTTTATAAAGAAATCTTTTAAAAATAAATATTTGAAAGGACATCCAAGTCAATAATCGTGGATTTTATAAAGAAAATGTTGACAGGACATCTGGGCCAATAATCGTGAATTTTTTAAAGAATTTTTTTAAAGGACATCCAGGCAAATATTCTTGATTTTTTTTAAGAAATTTTCTAATGGAAATTCAGGCTAATAATCGAGGATTTAAAAAAAATCTGATGAACATTTAGGCCGATAATCGTGAATTTTTAAAGATTTTTTCAAAGGGCATCCGGGCCAATAATCGTGGATTTTATAAAGAAATCTTTTAAAAATAAATTTTTGAAAGGACATACAAGCCAAAAATCGTGGATTTTATAAAAAAATTGACAGAACATCTGGGCCAATAATCGTGAATTTTTCAAAGAATTTTTTTAAACGACATCCAGGCGAATATTCCAGAAATTTTCTAAAGTAAATTCAGGCCAATAATCGTGGATTTTTTTAAAAAAAAACCTGATGGACATTTAGGCCGATAATCGTGAATTTTTAAAGATTTTTTCAAAGGGCATCCGGGCCAATAATCGTGGATTTTATAAAGAAATCTTTTAAAAATAAATTTTTGAAAGGACATACAAGCCAAAAATCGTGGATTTTATAACGAAAATTTTGACAGGACATCCGGGCCAATAATCTTGGATTTTTTTAAGAAAATTTTTAATAAACAAATGGAAAAAAAAAATTGAAAAGACATCCTGCCAATAATCGTGTTTTTGTAAAGAAATTCTTCAAAGGACAACTCGGCCGTGCCGTCTACTCAATAGTAGCTGGGCTCATAGGCCGTCTACTCAAGGCCGTAAGGGGACGTCTACTCCAGAGTAGCTGGGCTCAGAGATCGTCTATCGCTCAGTAGATGGGCTCAGAAGCCTTTTCTCCAGCGTAAATAGGCTCAGAGTCCTTCTAATCCAGAGTAGATGGGCTCACTGGACGTCTACTCCAGAGTAGATGGACTCAGAGGCCGTCCAATAATTGTGGATTTTTTAAAGAAATTTTTGAAAGGACATCTGGGCCAAAAATCTTGGATTATTTAAAGAAAATTTTTAAATTTTTGAAAGGATATCCGGACCAATAATCTTGGATTTTTTAAAGAAAATTTTCAAAGAACAATTGAACAATATTTTTGAAAGAACATCCTGGCTCTACTCCAGAGAAGATGGGCTCTGGGAGTATACTTCAGAGTAGATGGGCTCACAGGACGTCTACTCCAGAGTAGATGGGCTCACAGGAGGTCTACTCCAGAGTAGATGGGCTCACAGGACGTCTACTCCAGAGTAGATGGGCTCACAGGGCGTCTACTCCAGAGTAGATGGGCTCACAGGGCGTCTACTCCAGAGTAGATGGGCTCACAGGAGGTCTACTCCAGAGTAGATGGGCTCAAAGGACGTCTACTCCAGAGTAGATGGGCTCACAGGCCGCCTACTCCAAAGTTCTTCACGAAAGAAACAAAAAGTGGACTTCAGACTCCATCAGCATCAATGTAGGTGTGCCCAAATTTTATCTCATCCACAGTAAATGATTCACAGCCAATATATAGCAGTGGAGTTCGTAGGACGTCTTCTCCAGAGTTGATGAGGTCGGAGGTCATCTACCCCAGAATAGCTGAGCTCAGGGGTGATTTGCTCAGTTCACAGATGGCTTAAAATTGAAGACCTCCTTTCTTAAGTTGTGGGCAATTGAAAGGCAAGAAATATTCAATTAAAAACATTTTTGCTGCCTACTTTTAGGCTTTAAAAGTGAATCTCCATATCATAATTTTCATCCAACCATCCATACACCGTTTCAGGTTATATATTTCTTATTTCCAATCAATTTGTGCCATATTCTTTTCTTACTTAATGTGTGGTGCATACTTTAAGGCTCTCCATTGGAATATTGCGCCGTAAATGTCTTGAGACCCATTGTTGTCTATCATTTCGAATAAAAAAGTCTTAGAAGCCAATACATATTTAATAAACCACAACTCAATTAGGCGACAACAGCTTACAGTTGGTGTCAAAAATATATTTGTTTGTTATTTTGAAGGGTTTTATTTATGGCGAAATTAATAATTTCCCTCGCCCTCAAAGCTCTACTTACCTCCCTGGAGGAGAACTCACAACTTTTTGGCAATAATATTTTTGTTTTTCAATTGTGTGTGTTGTTTTTTCTGTTTATTTTCAGAACCGTTGATCGTCTTTGGTCGATAACAGAGGATTTAAATATTCTCTACAAGGAGAATTGGACGCGCCTGGCTGCTCAAGAAGTGCAACATTTCCAGGTAACAATTCAAGCTTGACTAGGTTATTTTTGCGTCTCTAATTTTATCATTTTTTTGCCTGTCATTGTATTTGTTTTTGGCGGGGTGGTATTTTGAAGAAAATACTTCAATTATGTTGTTGAAAATATTTTTTTTGCGTCTTACAGGATACATTGCTGCGTTCAGTGCGCCAATCGAAAATTCATCAGACAGGTGTACCCATGAATCCGCCCTCCCACAAATGGACCTATGCCTCGGCGTTTCTCTATTCATTGACGCTGATAACAACAATCGGTAAGTCGACCTGACAGAGATTTATGAGGCGTAGAAAAGGAAATCGATGATGCTGGGGACAAGAGTGACAATTTGCTTTGTATGCGTGTAGATGTGCCAGCGTCGAGGTGACAAAAGTCAATTATCATTGCTGACATTTTTTTTTTGGGGGGGGGAAGGGGGGAGGCTTGGGTTTGATGAAAGATTGGTTTCACCAGAAAAATATTTTTCTATTAAAAAGAGAATACTGTGCCCGTCCTCTCCACCCCTGCATAGATAATTTGTTTCATGTGTCAAGAAATACTTTAATGACAGCTATCAATATATAGCTTACTTGGAATTTTGTTTCGATGTTATGGAATAACTTTTGGCTAGTTAGCATATTTTTAGGGGCAGGTAGGGGCAAATAATTTGTCTTCTTCGTTGGATTTCATTAAATAATTTCAAGATTTAAATTTAAGCATTGTTTTGAAGGGAGAAAAAAAGTAGCCTACGATGTGGGGTTTTGTATACAATTAACTAACAAGAAACTTATTTTAGACATGGTTTTCCATAATTCGATTAAGGCGCCTAAAAGTATGCTATTAATCGGAAATGTTTTCCCTATTGTTTGGGACACAAAGTTCGGAATATAATTCCAAGTAGGGTAATAAAATCCTTGCAAAAAATTAAGTTTGGACAAAATTGCCTTCCGAAAGCTCTTCTATGGTCAAGGGGTCTTTTAGAAGGCCTTCTGCGGAAAAAAATACCCTTCCAACTTTTTTTTTTATAAAAATAAATTCTTAATGAAGGCCTTCTATCGACAGAGGATCTTTCAAAATAAGACCTTTCAAAACATGCTCTACGTATAAAAGAAATATTAAAAGTTATTTTAAGAACCGAAGGAAATCTTTAGGAAGTTCTATGCATAGAAGAGGACTTTTGAAAAGGTCCCAAGGAAACTATGAATATTCCTCATGAGGGACCTTTCGCTCAGTGTGTACATCAATCTTTCAATGATCCAGATTGTATCCCTAATTAAAGGTTTAAACCCCTTTTGCCACATTGTGGACAATAAAATGTTAAAATGATGAGTATTGCCAAAACATCAATGTGTGATGCATACTTTTAGGCTGCGCACATATTTTATATACACTTAAGGTTCAATCAATTTATAAAACATAATTGTATATTATGTTTTGAATATATGCAGACAGTACCTAACAAATTTATTGATTGTGGAAATAAATTAATTATTTGGTGCATACTTTTAGGCCCTGTATTAGTTTATGTGTTCGTTGTAGTCTCTGGTGACCCATTTTTATTTAAATTTCCATGTTAATATGCGTTTGCATCCCAAAGAATGCAATATTGACAAAAAACCCCCCAAATTCATGTTCCCAATGTGTGGTGCATACTTTTAGGTGACTCAAAAAATTTCCAGACCTTTAATATTCAATCAATTTTGCAAAAGATAATATTTTATTTCTTATTTTGAAGCTCTGTAGACATAGCTTAACAAAATAATTAATTGTGAAATTAATTTATAATGTGGTGCATACTTTTAGGACCTATATAATTTTATTGGTTATTTTTAGTCTCTGGTGACCAGTTTTTACTTAAATGTCCATGTCAATATGAGTTAGCATCCCAAAGAGTGTAATATTGATTGGAAAAAACCACAACCCCCACCCCCCCCCCCCCCCAATTCCTGTTCCTAATTTATGGTGCCTGCTTTTAGGTAACTCAAACATTTTCCATACCTTTAATCTTCAATCAATTTTATAAAAGATAATAGTTTATTTCTTAGTTTGAAGATCTAAAGAAAAGAATTAATTGTGAAAATTAATTCATAATGTGGAGCATACTTTTAGGATCTATATAAATTTATTTGTTATTTATATTCTCTGGTGACCCGTTTTTATACAAAATTTTCTTGTCAATATGCGTTTGCATCCCAAAGAGTGAAATATTTACAAGAAATCCTTCAATTCATGTTCCTAAAGTGTGGTGCATACTTTTAGGTGACTCAAAAATTTTCCAGACCTTTAATCTTCAATCAATTTTGCAAAAGATAATATTTTATTTCTTATTTTGAAGCTCTGTAGACATAGCTTAACAAAAGAATTAAATGTGAAAATTAATTCATAATGTGGTGCATACTTTTAGGACCTATATAAATTTATTTGTTATTTGTAGTCTTTGGTGACCCGTTTTTTATTTAAATTTCCATGTCAATATGCGTTTGCATCCCAAAGAGTGGAATATTGACAAGAAACCCCCAAATTCATATTACTAATGTGTGGTGCATACTTTTAGGTAACTCAGACATTTTCCATACCTTTTATCTTCAATCAATTTTGCAAAAGATAATATTTTATTTCTTATTTTGAAGCTCTGTAGACATACCTTAGTAAAAAAAAATAATTGTGGAAATTAATTCATAATGTGGTGCATACTTTTAGGACCTATATAAATTTATTTGTTATTTGTAGTCTTTGGTGACCCGTTTTTTATTTAAATTTCCATGTCAATATGCGTTTGCATCCCAAAGAGTGCAGTATTGACAATAAACCCTACCATTTTATATGCCTAATGTGTGGTGCATACTTTTAGGTAACTCAAACATTTTCCATACCTTTAATCTTCAATCAATTTTGTAAAAGATAATAGTTTATTTCTTAATTTGGAACTCTGTAGACATACCTTAACAAAATAATTAATTTTGGAAATTAATTCATAATGTGCTGCATACTTTTAGGACCTGTATAAATTTATTGGTTATTTGTAGTCTCTGGTGATCCGTTTTTATACGAAATTTCCATGTCAATATGCTTTTGCATCCCAAAGAGTAAAATATTGACAGAAAACCCCCCCCCCATTCATGTTTCTAATGTGTGGTGCATACTTTTAGGTAACTTAAACATTTTCCATACCTTTAATCTTCAATCAATTTTGCAAAAGATAATATATTATTTCTTATTTTGAAGCTCTGTAGACATACCTTAACAAAAGAATTAATTGTGGAAATTAATTCAAAATGTTGTGCATACTTTTAGGCTATGTATTCATTCCTTTGTTAGTTGTAGTCTTTGGCGACCGGTTGTTTTCCTCAAATTTCCAAGCCAATATGAATTCGCATTCCAATGAGTGCAACATAGACAAGAAACCTTATTATTTTATGTGGTGCATACTTTCAGGTAATACACACATTTTCCCTGCCCTTAATGTTTAATCAATGCAACAAATATAGTAGTATTATATCATTTTAAACCTCTGTGGACATCTATGAACGAATAATTTTTTTTAAATTATATTAAATTATTTTGTGATGCATACTTTTAGGCTATACGTAAATTCCTTTGCTGGTGTAAGTTAACATATTAATACCGGATGTTGAATTGATAAACAACAGGGTTCAAGATCTCTTTTCGAACCCATCTAGACAATTTTAAAACCTTGTTTTGGTTATAAATACCATTTAGATGTGTAATGCATACTTTTTGGCGTCACCTCCTTTTCTTTGTCACCTATGTCGACAATCACTCAAGGAGAACTTTATTAGGGGAAGTTAATGGGCTATTTTATGTAGTTAGTAATAGTTGTGGATTACCTCTATGATATATAAGACCAATATTTATGCTGCATACTTTTAGGCTATCCTTAATATTTTTCCTTTGAATGGAAATTTTGAAATTAATAACTTCTTCATAGTTTTTTTTTTGGCATAAATTGCCAAGATTTTTTGGTTTTTATTTCCATTTACAGATGACACACAAATCCTCCAGGGCTTTGGCTGATGATAACCACCTGAGAAAAAAAATCTATGATAAATTTAATAATTTCATTTAATTTCTCAACACATTAGTGATCATCTCACCGAATGTTGGGTGGTTTTTGGGGGGGAAAACATTTTTAATTTTCTCCAAAGTTTGCTATTTAATAAAGTTTCCTCCCGCCTCTACTCCTGCCCCACTCTGCTCCATCTCATTTATCATACGCAATGTTTGTCTATTTGTTATTTAGGTGGTTAGCGCATTCGAAACCGAAAAAATTAAACATCTCTCTCACGTACACCTAAGCTCGAGTGGGGGGATGGGAGATGGATAGGTATGGCGGACGTATGAGTGATGTTAATGATGTGACCTTTGTCTGCCGCTGATAATTTATATGGACCGCAATAATTTATAACGCAGTGATTAATTTGAAGTCACCCTCATCCGGCAAAGACAAAAATAAAAAAATATGGCAGCTCTGGTTTTTGGGAGGAAAAATGACGCAAATAGAGAAGGGAAAATTTTTCATTTATCCTCTTTCCCAACTTGAGCCTCTTAATTGAAAGGAAAATTCCATTATTGAATGGAAGGAAGGTTCGTTCGTTCGCTCGCAAGGCAAAGAGCCGTATTTTCTGCTAATGAATGAAACACAAAATGAAAATGAACAATGTTTCATGCCTTGGCAATGAATTCGAATTGTAAAAGAGGGGGGGGGGAGGGGTGAGCGAGAGAGGAATGAGAAATGGAAACTGAAGTGAAACAAAAATTCAATTGTCATTGCCAATGGAGCGTATGAGTGCGCCTTAATTATGTTTTTCATCAACAAATAATGACAATTTCCTGGTATGTCATAGACATTACAACAACAACAAGGGGAACATCAACTATAACAGCAACAACAAAAAGCAAAACAAAAATCACAACCAAAATCATTACTAATTTAATTAAATTGTTCTACTTTGAGGAGATGTTGAAAACGGCCATGGAAACTAGAGAAAGACAACATGGGATGTCCTACATCTGCAAAGAGGTCAAAGGTGAGGAAATCTAATTTCAGGATGAGCACCAATTTTTTGAAGATATTTTGAAATAATGGGGACCTGTTGGCCCGAAAGTGACCAATTGCCATTGAATCCCCATTTTTTTAAATCAAGTCAGTGGTCAAAATTTTAAGACCTCTAGTTCTATTTGTTTCAAATTTTAATGGTCAAACCTCCCTTCCTGCCACTTTTTGGCTTCCTGTCATTTGCTCTTTGATTGTGATGG